TTTTTTTTTTTTAAAGTGCTCTCAGGCAGACACATATCCGTTTAAATCAGTATCTAGTAACACAGTCACAAACTGATCTAATGAGGCTAATGAGAGCGCGCCGCTCTGGTTGCCAAGGTGAGGCCGCCGCCACCGGTGTGCACCAAGGAAGGACTAAAATAGTCAATAAGAGTGATTTTCCTAATCAGGTGGTATTTTTAAGGTTTGTAAGAGGAGAGCCTGAACAATGAATAATGAAGTGGAGGAGGACGTGGAGCTGTCAGAGAGGAGACGAGGTCCCTGAGGCTGACAGAGTGATTTAATCATCATTAATAATCTCACTAACACAAGTCATTAGGCTGCGGAGGTGTGCTGCTGTCCTCCAGTGGCTGATCAGAGATATAACTCATCTCTGCGGCGCGTGTGATGGAGGAGAGTTTAAACTGAGTTCTCTGTTTTGTGCCGAAGGTGGGAGTGAAGGTGCGTCCCTGGGCGACCTGTTTCGTGCATGCGAGCAGGGCGGGGTCTGTCCTCTGGGCCGCGGGTCGGAGGCCAAAGGTCAGTCAGAGTTCAGGCAGTCGTTCCTGCGTCGGGCCGCAGACCCTCAGCTCAACGAACGGCTGCACCGCCTGCGCATACTGACATCCACGCTGAAGGTTGGTTCGCACAAAGACACGCACGAGCAGGACGTTCACACATGCACACAAAAGCTGGCGACGGTGTGGAAGGACGTCGCTAAGCCCCTCCCTCAAACTGTAACCGAGCTCAGGAGCTGCAGCTACGCAGAGCAAGTCTGTCCAGTTTTATTCCTCTTTACATCAAGGCTGCACAGAGCTGCAATTTAAAGTTTGGACAGTGCCTTTAAAAGAGTATTTACCTCAAGTCTAAGTGTTCCCCTTTTATTTCTTTTCAAAATTGAATCGTAGTTAATTTAATTTGACTTTAGTGAGAAGAATTTACTTTAAAAAAAAGATTCTTTCATATCAAAGTGAAACTGATTTCTACAAATTGATGTAAATTAATTAAAGATATGAGCATAAATAGGTCAGCATTTTACAAGCCAGCTGGTGCTGGTAAAATAAAGATAATCTGAGTACAGTCAATGTGTCTCAAGTGATCACAGTATAAAGACACCTGTATCTGGAACTCATATTTTAATAGACACTATAAGCTGGAATCGTCAGCATGCTTGTTAGTAGGTGCACTGTAAAAAAAAAAAAAAAAAAAAAAAACAACTGAAAATCTGGCAGCAAAGGTGCCAGAAAAAAACATGCAAATACTGTAAAAATTGTGAAAATAGCAGCAAATATCTGTAAAATAATGATACTTTAACTCATTTAAATAAAGTAAGACTTTAATTTTATGGTCTCACGTTATGAAAGAACCAAGTACTGTTTGGAAAAATACAGATTTTTATTGTGGATATTATGTTCAGCTTTAGCTTCTTCTTTTTTTTTCTTCTTTTTTTTTTAAGTCAACATGTAAATAAATACTTCATCCTGTTTTGTTTTTTGTTTTGTTTTACTAGATATTGGTTAATTCTGAAAAACAGAAGACAAATCTGTAAAATAACCAATAAAAAATGAAATGGTTTACCATTTTGTGATGCTTAATATACATGAAAAATATTTAAATACAGTAAAAAAAAGTGTAATTTTACCATCAAATGTAGAAAAACTAAATACAAAAAATGCCAACATAAATGTAATCTTTAACCTGAGATTATTTATTTGTCATCCGTTGTCTTTGCACATTTCCAAAAAACTATTTAAAAAAATGGAAACCATTTTCCAACGCAGAATAAAAGTATATTTTAATTGCATACATGCATTTAAAGATGCGACTTTCTTGAACCAATATGGTGGCCATGTTGACACATCATTGCAGCAGTCAGTGAGGCGCTTTTTGGGATCCTTGTTGTCATGATCTCAACAGCTTTTTCTCTTAATATGGTAAAAGTGAAAGTTTGCTATTTTAAAGCAAAAACGTGTGAACATTGTTGTTACCTGGTGACGACCTCTTACCTGGAACGTGTAGCTTTTGGCATGATATCAAGCATGTAACAAAAATGAAAAAACACGTTTAGCCACGTCTCAAAGCTAAGGTTGGCTCAGCTGGCTAAATAGTTACATATATTAAGTTGTAAAACTGTCATTACAGCTAAAACAATTAGTGGTAAACAGCTAAAATGGAGCGCTGGACGAGGAGTTGTAGCCGACAGGGACCCAAACAAACTGTTTTTGTCAGATGTAGCAGCAGCCAGTATTGAGAGAGGGGCTTAGCTAAAGGTCACTATTATCCTTTTCTATCAAATAGCAATAAATGCAGCACCATATCTCATCTTATCCTCCTGGTCCTACCTTTTGCCTGTTCTGCCCATCCTTTGCTCCCAGACACCTTCCACTGTGAGGCTTCTTTTAAACTAATTTACTGGTGCGGTTCAGATGGGGTCATGTGCCGCCTTCCTAAAACTCAAATCTTTCCAGTTTTGTTATCTCAAACCGCGCCGAAAGAGAATTAACCTTATCGTTAGTTTATTACTGCTGGTCCACAGGCTTAATCACATCCACACACACTCGAACGCACCTCACAGCGGATAAACCGGCGCTCCCTAATTATTTTTATTAAAAGACATGTGCGGCGGTAATTTCTGCAGCCGCACGACCACACACACGCTGGAACATGTCTGTGTTGTTGGTTTTAGTGCCGTCATCTGTCCCAGTCTGTCTCCTGGGTTTGGGTTTTTTTGTTTTTCAGATGTCAAGCAGCCGTCTGTGGTGATGCTTCCCGGGCTGGGTGCCTTTTTTTTTTGTTGTTGTGTCTCTGGAGTTTTGTATCTTTGTTGCTTCCTGGCGAGGGCGCAGGGGTTTTGTCGCTTGTAGTTACAGTAGCTTTCTTTTCTGTCTTTGTTGTTGTGTTTTTTTGGATCTGTGGCTTTGCCTGCCTGGTTGGTTGGTTGGTTGGTTGGTTGGAGGAGCTTACATGTCTGTTCCCTGTCTGGCGTCTCTTTAAAGGAAGATACCAAGCTTTGGGGGGAGTTTGGATGAAAAGTTTCTCGGTCAAATAACGCACAGCAAAGTGATTCTGGTTTGATATTTCCCAGTGATGAGGTTGGAGTTGTGTGCTCAGGTACTATCTGCAGTGGTTGCTGTGGAAACAACAAAGACATGCTTTTTTTTTTGTTTTGTTCTCTGTATCTCTTTTTTTGTCTTAAAATTAGACCAAAACAACAACTCTGGACAGCGATGCAGAGTTTCTGTGTTGCAGCAGATGAAAACGATGATAGAAGAGGTTCACACATGCTGATATAATATCACTGTCTGGCATCGACTGAACTATAATTTGTTGAAATCAGTTTTTTGGGAGTTTGATTTGATTGATTTGGTTCAGTCTGAGCTTAGAAAGTGAGAAAACACAACAATATTAATGTTATCTGACACATTTTGTAGTTAAAATGTCACTCAGTTGTATTCTTTTGGCCTGTTTTATATGCTCACCTCTTAAAATCCACACATTTTTATGCAATTTCCATGTACGATGCAATATATGAAAATGGAAAAGCGTTTAACAGAGGAGCTGTGAGGTCAACTTGCATGTGTGGGACTTTATTTGAAAGCTAATTTCTTCTAATTTCTTAAAATGTGCTTGATTAGCATGTGGCTGAAACACAAAGCAATCTATGTTGCCTCAAATGTAGCTCAAAAAAGTCTTTTTTTTTTTGGTCCTCATGCATAAAAAGTCACATTTAAATATCAATAACTTGGTGGTGCTTAATGCCAGATTCATGGAAATCACCACAAACCTTCTGCATCTTGTCGACCACGTCTGTGTGAAATTTTAGACCTCTATGTGTAAGATTAATGGAGATGTTCCATAAAATGAATCTAATCATTGAATTGTGGGGAATCTAATCCATCCAGCCAACTCGTCACTGATTTTTTTAGTTGCACAAAATGTAAAATTAACAGTTTATGTCCTCAGTAAATAAGGAAAGTAGCCCGTAATAGTAATATACGTAGTAATAAATGACTGAGTCTGCAGTTAGGAACACTGCCGCTCGATGAATAAGCGGAGAGAAATGTCCCGGCTTTCAGCAAACATTTGTCAGATAATTGGTTCCTAAATTATTTATTTAGCTTTTGCTAACTCACAGACAAACATTTAATCATTTAGTTTAGCCCGAAAACTGTGAAATCACTTTTTTAATTAGCCATCACTGATAAAATAATCAGCTGAGGGTCAAAAGTTTGTCAAAAGAGCCGACAGCGAGTCGTCTATTAAAAATTAAAAATGCCTCTTATGAATGTCTGAGGAATGTAACTGAACAAGTTCATTAAAAAGCTAAAAGGACAAAACAATCATCAAGCCAGAGAAGAAAAAAATTGGATTTTTTACAACCTGGCAAACCAGATGTTTGTTCATAATAACCATTAGTAAATAAATAATAATACTTATCCATTCTTATATATGTGTATAGCCTGAACAAAGATCCATTTATTACCTCGTTATAAAAAAAGAGACATTGATGAAGCTCTCTTTATCGTTTGGAGAGCACATTTACTAAAGTGTTGTTCAGTTTTAAAATACGTGCTTGAGTTTGACCATCTTTTCATTCCACCACATGTTCTACATTTAACCACTTTACAGTTTCAAATTAGAATCTAAAATATAACAACTCGTGCTTCATGATGTATGATTCTAAACGTGTCGTCATGTTTACACCTGACTGCAGCTACAAGTGCCATCATACTGTGTAGATTATAAAATGGGTCATTCTTCTTACTTTTGGTACTTTAAGTGGATTTTAGGGTTTTTGATACTTCTGTACTTTTTCATAACACACTTTAGTTGTTATCTAAGAAAAAAAAAAACTGGTTTTGTCAACGGGTTTCTCTCCAGTTTAAAGAGTTTGTTCTTGGATTAACGTGGAGACGCTACAGCTGTCTCTGCTATTTAAGACCAGAGTCACCACAAAGACAACGTGTTCCCGTGATGGTGGGATGGATTATTATTAGCCTATAGGGGCAAGAGACAAATCCAACACTGACCTTTATCAGAGTCAGAATTCTCTTACCACGATGTGATGTGATTAATTTCACATGTATTCATGACAAACAACAAATTTCCGGTGTCTCTAGAGAGTTTAGACTCTCTATTAAAGTGTGATAATGTGCTTCATTTGCTTCTCATGAACTTAATTTAATGAGTTGAATGAACTCTCAGCTGTTTGTTCGTTGAACTCACCGTTTTAAGTCGAAATGATTCAAGTTAGAGAAACTCAAATGAGACGTTTTAGGTTGAAATTAGTCAAATAAGTATATTTACACTGACAGAAGTAAGTTGATTTCGCTAAATTCATATGTTTTACAGTGTATTTATATAATGCTGTACTCCGCAAAAGCATTAATGTTTTACTAGCTTTTTATAGTTGTCCCTGAGGTGGATTTAAATATGTATTAAATTAGCATGTCTGTGCAGCGTCATTAAAAAAAACAGATGTGCTTAGTCGTAATGGTGTCTCTAGATAGTACAGTCAAGTGCACTTAAGTGTACATGCATCGATTATTTGCATTTATTAGACTGCATTATGCCACAAATAGCATACTTAGCATACATTAATCATGTGTGCACATGGGAGTTATGTAAATATACTTCAATTAAATGCACAGACTATAAAAACAATTAAAGAACCATGTAAACGGGTGATTATCGTGTCCATATCTCTTAATTAAGACGATCAAATCTCCCCAAACCTTAGTGTTTCCTCCTCAGTGTGTGTCTTTGCTTTCCGTGTGTCTGCGTTTTAAGGAATCGTAATTACGAGTATTTATTTTTTTTAAAAAGTGACCCGCCCCTCCTGTGTTTCTGCATCCCCATAGGACAGGGAGGGGGAGCTAGCGCTGATTGACAGGCTGCTGGCCAATCCCCAGCTGTCGTCGGCAGAGTTCCAGGAGTGGAAGAGAGCCTATCAGGAGCTGTTCAATCAGGAGCCGAACTCTCCCGCCGAATCCGACCCGGGGCCGCCGCCGCTCACGCCTTCGCTCTCCCACACGCACTCCTACATCGAGACGCACGTCTGACGCGCACGACAAAAAAACCCGCACGAGTTGAGAAAAAAAAAACCACACAAAGCTGCGGCCGACGCTTTCACGCAGTCGGAGAGAAAAAAGATTTGCATCGGCGCACATAGCGACGGACTGTGTCGAGAGCCGGGGGGTTAGGATTTGGGCGGCGTAACAAAGTGCAACACGACGGCTTTCGGAGGAAGACCCTCACGTCGCATCAGTCCACGAGCTGATTGGTTGTGCCACTCCAGCTGGCTCGGAGGCGGACGATACGCTGATTCCTAAGTATTACATGTTAGCTTTTGTGCTCTGTATCTCAAATACTCGCCATGGAAACGCCATATAAAGAAGCTGTGGACGACCTTCATCATCAGAGTGGTATTACAGAGTAGTTTCTTCATCCAGCTTGTTGTGCCATGTTCCTACCGACTGCACAGCGTCTCATAGACAGCCTCTAATAGCCACTGAGTGACACACGTTGTATTCTATCCAGCCTTATACTTGACGTCTATGATGATATTTACTGTACAGTGAGTGTTGCAGCGGACAACAATAAGCAGAGGTCTTTTTTTTTTTTAACAATCCAATAGTCTCACTTTCTATCTAGTTTTAGAGACTTTTCTTCGTGCTGGTTTGGTAGAATTACGTTCTGTGCTGGGCTGGACCTGAAGCATGCACACTTCTCCTGGAGTAGGAAGGAAAAATCCACCCTAAAACGCTTTAACACGGTTTGCAAACACTTACTGGCGGCGCGTCTCGCATTTAAGCGCCCATGTTTGGATATTTCATGACTCCTGCAGGGACGCCCGAGCTCTGAAACATGACTTATCCACTATTTCTAACTGATTCTGCAACCCCGTGTTTAATATTTCCCTTATAACTATCACATAATCATAGTAAAAGTTACTCTCAGGTTGTTGACTTAATCCCTACAAACTCATCTTTGTGCACCAAAGTTCCATATTTAGAAGTTTATTCCATGATAATAATCCCTCTCTGCCTTAAAATGAAAACTATTTTGGGAGTATTTTAGCAATACGTGAACCAGAAATAATGAAACCGAAAGCCCCACCTGGCAAATTTACAACATTGGTTCTTTAGGTTGGATTTTGTTACCATCGAAACGCTGCAGTTTCAAGGTAGAAATGCTCAGTCATGGTGGCTCATTTCACTCATTAACGTCACATGGTTCACTTGATTTCCACCGTAGAGGGTCTACATTCGAGTAGATGCTTTAATAATGAGAGATCTAACAATATAAAGTCCTTCGTGAAGGTTGGAGATAAGGACCTCTGGAGTAGGGATGCTAGCGGCGTTAGCAGATTGTTGATGGAGATCGACTGAGATGGAAACCGTGGACGAGGTGGAGACGGGGAGGAGGAAGGACGCTCGATCAACAGCGTGGAAGAGAAGGCGACAGAATTGCAATGAACTTAAGGACCAGCGACAGAGAGAGCAGCGAGATGGATGATTGGACGAGAGTAGCGATGCTGAAATTGAGATTGGACAAGACAAGGTGGCAAAGCTGAAGAGAGCTGAGCAGCAGGGATATCCCACGTTCACTGAGAGGAACAGAGACAGAACATGAATGAGCAGATCTTCCTTTTTAGAACTTACGTTACCAAAGCTTCTTCGGTCAAGAAATGTACATGTGAGGAGAGAATGAGGAGAGGCCCCCCGTTAACTCTTTGCTAATTCATTTGACGGAAAATCAAGGCCATGAGAGCATCTTCTCAGATTTAAGGAAGCCAAACTAGCGCTTTTCGCTACACTAAATACGTGACTGACTGTTTGCAGAGCTGATTTAGCTGCAGGATTGAACTTTTTAGTGCTCGTATGATGTAGGGATTTGAGAAGACTTCAAATTTTTCACAGAGTTTCTCCAACATGTGTCAGTTAACAGACTCTGTAAGGAATAAAGCAACTGGTTTGGGCAAAATAAACTGCAAGGATGATGATCAAGTCCCCGAATTGAGAGGGATGTTTATGCAAAATTGTCATTCAATGTATTCGGTAGTTGAATTGACACTTTATGGCACCATTTCTGTGTTCAAGGACACAAAAATGTAAATAAAAGACGGGTCAGTTTTTACGTTTGCAGCATGGATCTCCACAACACTTATTCTTGTGTGAAAGCGAAGCGGCGCAGCGTCTGATCCGCAAACAGTCGGCACACGTGTTCAGTGCAGCGACGGCATCAGTGATAATATTTAGCCATGTGTGATCTTTTTCCAGTGCCTTCAATGGGCAACCTCATCCTCACTACGAGAGTGGAAAAGTTGTTCTGGTTCCGCTCAGCAAAGCTTTCCAAGAAGCACAAAAAATAATTAAAGCCAAAAAAAAAAAAAGCACATAAAATAAACCTTTTATCATAAAAATAACTCCAAGATTTATTATATTTTATATTACAGTGAAAAAAAGTTTTTCCAAGGGTGGATTTTTCCTCGGAGGCCGTTTGGCTCTCTGCGTTCTGCATGTCACATAGAGAATATGAAGAAATATTTGCATAGAAACTGAAATATGGATCTAATAAAAAGAAATATATTAGTTTGTTATTTGTACGCTGCTGCCAAAAGACTCCGAGACACTGCATTTAAAAACTATGAAAGCAATCGTACTCACAAATACACACGAATACGCACTAATAAGCACACCATACACTCGGTTTGAATGCTCTCTATGCTGCTGCCCGTGGTTGGTTGTAGTAGCATGTCTTTGTTGTAGATAAAAACCAGTATTCCTTTTTCTGTTTTTGTGTTTGAAATCTTTAGATACACTAGATCTCTATTTATAGAGTGCAAAACTAAGTGTCTTGGATGATGTTCTCTAATTCTATCTTTATTTTTGTTTGTGTTGTGTTTTGTTTTTGTTTTTGGACAGACATGTCACATTGAGTAAAGATTGTTTAATGTTCAACCTATAAATTATGGTTAAAGATACAGTATTTATTTACGTGATCAATTCTGCGTGTTCTGTTGGAAGATGAGGGCGGATCAATAAAGTTTTGGTCATTTGGATGAAGGTGTTTTTGTGGTTTTGTGTTTTGATTTGGTGAGCAGCTGCTGTACTAAGGAAGAAAAAAAAAGAAAAGACAGAAGGAGATATCCAACAGCACACCTTGAAAATACAATAACAGCACTGAAGTCAGAAGTAAAAGTACAGAAGTATCAACAAAATAAAAGTACTTATTCTGCAGCTTGTATCTCAATGGGAGAGGATAAATGTTTTCTCTAATATTCGATTTTGCTGTGAGCCATTGATTTCATCTTTACCAGTGTGTTGTATTCAACTTGTCAATCACAAGATACCTCCGCCCTAAAACATATCTTGCTTTATGATATATTTAACTCAAAATGGGACCAAAATTTACAAAATAAACATCATCCTGTGTTCAAAAAAGTCTTGAAACTAGCAGTTGAGACCATAAACTCATCAGGAAAATGCTTACTGAGGCAATAAATCCAGTGAGAATACAAATGGAATCTTTTTGCAACCAGAGGAGTCGCCCCCTGCTGGCTGTTACAAAGAATACAGGTTTAACGCTCTTCCACGTTGGCTTAACTTTCCAGACACGATGGCCACATCTATCTTTTATGGTCAGTTTGTGGTTGACATTTATTATCTTAATGTTTTTATGTAAAATTATCAATCACTAGGTAGCCTCGCCCTGAAACACACCTTCCTATATCGTCTATTTTACTCAAAATCGGACCATAATTTACAAAACAAACATCATACTCTATTCAAAAAGTCTTCAAACTAACAGTTGAGACCATAAACTCATCAGGAAAATGTTTACCGAGGTAATAAATCTATTGAGAAGTAGGGTCATTTCCTCAGACTTCTTTACAATTGGAATCTTTTTGCAACCAGAGGAGTCGCCCCCTGCTGGCTGTTAGAAAGAATGCAGGTTTATCGCACTTCCACATAGGCTGAACTTTCCGGACATGATGGCCACATCTATCTTTTCTGTGCAATTTGTGGTTGAAATGTGTTGTCTTAATGTTTTTTTTTATATAAAATTATCAATCACAAGGTTATCACACCCTAAAACATACCTTCCTGTATCATCTATTTTACTCAAAATGGGAACATAATTTACAAAACAAACATCATACTGTATTCAAAAAGTCTTGAAACTAGCAGTTGAGACCATAAACTCATCAGGAAAATGCTTACTGAGGCAATAAATCCAGTGAGAATACAAGTGGAATCTTTTTGTAACCAGAGGAGTCGCCACCTGTTGGCTGTTAGAGAGAATGCAGGTTTAATGCACTTCCACATAGGTTTAACTTACCAGACATGAAGACTTCATCCATCTTTTATGTGCAATCTGTGGTTAAATTTGATTATGTAAAAACATTAAAAATCCAAATGTCTCAATTGAAAAACTAATTTGTAGTTTACGCTGTCAAATCAATATAGTTAAGTCACAAGTACAATAATGTCATCTGACATGTAGTGAAAAGTACACAGCATAAACTAAAAATACTCAAGTAAAGAACAAGTAACTCAAAACTCTAGATGAGTAAATTTACTTTGCATCGCTGTCAACAGCTCCTCTGTTTTGGAAACTCCACTCTGCTCCTCCTCCTCGGTTCAATAGTCTCATTACCGGGCAGCCAAACTGTTCTGCACCACAGCTGCTCAATTCAATCAAAAGTGACTCAGAATTTAAAAGTGAATCAATATGAACTGTAGATTAAGTTTTTAAATTTTCTGAGCAGCTCCCAGCCTCAGCCATCAGCGCCTCTGTTTGTTTGCACTATTTTGAGCTCAGCGATTGGACGTCTCAAGCAAAAAATGCACCCTGGGAGTCATCGTTATGTTTTTCCCAAAAGATTTTATGCATGCAAGCTTGCATCTTTGACATTTAATCAAAAAAACAGATATTTTCCAACACAACAACTAAATATTAGATGATTTAAGCGGGAGAGATGTTTTTAGTTTCTGCAAACCGTCACTAAACCAGCTCATTTTTGCTTTTCTGGTCGGGAAGCTGACTCATAAACGTGAATTAAAATGCAACTTTTCACCCAAATGTAGAAGTTTTTTATATCAATTTTGTTGCAAATATAATATAGAGTATTTACTACACATTAATATATCCATGTGATAGAATTAAAATGTTTAAAATAGTGTGAGGGGGAAAAAAAGTGACTCATCCCTGTCATTAAATAACTACAACTTAACATATTGTTTTAATCACATAATAAAAGCTATTAAATGTTATTCAAATGGAGATGAAGTAAACACACAGCAGGACTAATCACATTTGCAGTTCTGCTTTATTGGTTCTTAATATCTTTTATTAGAATTCATAATATCACCAATTGGAATGTTAAATTATTCAACTTTGCAAAAACAAAAACACATTAATCCCAATCATGTTTAAACAGTAATATGCATCATACGTATTTTCCTACGACAGGATGTACTGAGGCATCCTATTAATTTATAATGTGTTATGAAATATTTAATATAATTAATGTTTACGTTGACAGCTCAGTATGTGTTCAGGATGAAGTAGATACGAGCATAAAAGTGCATGAATAATGAACTCCAGCAGGTGATCGAGCTATTACCCACAAAGCATGCATCAGATTTCTCACTGAGCTTTTTTCTTTGTGCATTTGACTGTCAGTGTCTGAAACGAGAAAACAAACCAGAAAAAAGGGTCATTCCGTGTCCTTGGTTCGCCTCTATTTCTCTATCTAAACTTAATTTATGCACCACTACTGAATAAACGGGAATGTCACACACGCTGGAACTTTCATCTGCAATTTTTTTTTTTTGTTTCAAAGATGTCCTCCCCCCACCTTCACCACCTTATCTTCTGTTTTGACTTCTTCCTCCTCCTAAAAACTTAAAGAATTACCTTCTTCCCACTGACTCTCCTCCCCTCCTCCTCTGTTTATTCTTTTAAAAAATCTCTTCTATCGCTCTCTTTAGCTCTAGTTTTACGGCTTATCTTACTGCTACATTCTGGCCATTGGAAAATCAGCCTCTCTCTAGTGGCTGTTTGACATTTTTGGTGATCTTTAAGCTTGTTTTTATTCGTCTACACGGTGGGATTCACTTTCAGTAACTGGATGTGCTAAATAATAGCCCACAAAACTTTCTTTCTTTCTACATTTTAGGTACCTAAGCTTAAATGTTAAGCAACCTGGAAATCTGAGGGTTCGATTCGTGACTACATTGCACCTACTCAAACTGTCTTACTTAAGGCACCAGGCCTCTCATCTCACGTAATCGTGCACTTCAGTCTGGCAGAGGCAGCAGAGTGCACTCAGTCCCGGTGAGAGGTCTGGGAAGCTGGCAGATCTCTCTCCAGCGGTCCCTCTTGGTGTCGTACTCCAGCACGCTCTTCACGATCACTTCCTGTCCGTCGCTCCACCTCCTCCCTCCGAACACCAGCAGGTTCCCGGACGCCGTGGACGCCATCCCGTAGTTGAAGGAGCCGGTGAGAAGCGGCTTGAGGCGCGTCCAGTGGTCCGACTTTGAATCGTATCGTTCGATGTCGCAGAAGGGTTCGTACATCCCCAGCAGGGCGTAGATGTAGCCGTGGGCGGTTGCCAAGCGATGGCTGAACCTGGCGATGGACATGGACGCCCTCTTTTCCCAGACTTTGCCTTTGAGGTCCCAGAACAGGACTTCTCTGCTGCTTTCCCTGTTTACGCCATGGTTACCGCCATGGATGCTGCCTCCCTGGTTGCCCGGGAGACCACCTGACACATAGATGCTGTTGTCGAGCACGGCGGAGGCATGGCCGTAAAGGGGTCGAGGCAGCGCTGCTCCTCTCCTCCACGCTCCCGTGGACATGTCATAAAACTCAACAGAAGCTACCGAGGAGTGAGCGTGTCGTCCCCCGACGGCATAAATAACATCCTCCACCACGCAGCAGGTGAACTGCGCCCGCCTCTCCAGCATCGACTCCACCTGCTCCCAGCAGTCGAAGCGAGGATCGTACCTCCACACCTGGTTGGATGTTGCCACGGCGACGGACTTCTTCCCGTCCTCGTCTCCCTCTTTGACTTCCTCTCCTCCGATCACGAAGAGGAAACCTCCCACTGAGCACACGCAGGGGTTTCTCAGTCGCAGCGGGAGAACCACAGCCAGAGATGAAAACTTCCTGCTTCTGGGATCGTACGCCAACACGTGCTGTTCTGGCCAATCGGCGCTGGACCCGCCACCCACGAGCAGCATGCGATTGGGCGACGCTCTGAGAGTCGACTGTTTGCTCTGTCTGATTGGCTGAGCTGAACCCAGACTGTGGTACTCCAGCGCCCGAGTCAGCTGACTCCTGATTAAAGGCGTGGTCATGGCTTTGTGGGCGTGGCTGAGGTCGGCGAGGTCAGACGGGGCAACCAATCCGAAGCGGAGACGATTCAGCAGAAGGTTTGACTTTAGTAGCGGGAGGGGCCCGTTCTCATCCAACCAATCCAGAGCCAGCTTTATGAGCTCCAGCTCCTTGACGCCAGGTATCTCATCAGCGTCAAGCACCACCGATAGCGACTGGATGTTCAACCCGAGGAGATCATCTCTGCTCTCCTGTAGCAACCTCCCCATCTCCATGGCGATGGTTTGATTGGCAGCCTCGAGTGCACCGGAGAGGGCGTGGCGCTCAGCCAGATTAGCATAGCAGCAGCAGTTCTCAGCGTTTAAACCATCAGTCATGAACTGCTCGCATATTGACACAGCCGTCTCCACCTGCAGGTACCTGGCTGCTTCCAGGACAGCAGGAAGCGTCGAGGGTGACACGCTGAGCCAGCCTGAATACAGGAAGTCCAGCATGGCGTCTAAGCCCTCGGGCGTTAGCGCCGGGAGGCTAACGGAGTCCGCTAATCTCTCCGCGGTCGTCTCCCCGAAAAGGGCCCAAAAATAGTCGCTGGAGCCGGCCAAAAGGGCACGATGACACGGGAAGGCGACGCCGCCGGCCTCGAGGACAACATCGCACATCTTCCTCTCAGAGCGCAGGCGCTGGAAACCGGAGAGAAGTCCGGTTCTGTGCGAGGAGCTGTAGAGGAGGGAGTAGTTATCCATCCAGAAGATAGGAGGCAAGAACAGAGGAAGTGAAGGAAGGGAGGAGAGAAAGCTTGTTAGAAAGATGGAAAAGAGGAGCAGGTTGAGGTAAAAGCTCTGTCAGGAGGCAGCGTGGAGGAAGCATTAAAAGCAGAAAGAACAGGAAAAGCAGCAAGGAGCGAGGTTAGAAAAGACGTTGCTGACAGGCTGCACAGAGAGCATGAAGGGAATATTAGATATTAGTGCAAGAAGGAGGAAGTGAGAGGAGAAGTGGAGAAAGGGAGTAAAGTCCTTCGCAGAGCTCTCTCCATTTGTGTTTTCGTCCTGCTCGGTCTGCAGCGGCGAGCATGTGACACCATGATAGGGAGGTTAATAACTGCCCCTACACACAAACACAATCCCGTGTCCCACCCCCCCCCCGTTCGACCCTAAAACGTGGACCGTCCCCAAAGCCCTCCTGTCTCCTCCTGTGATACCCCGGCTCTGCTGGCATTGTGTTCGTCTGCTGCCCTTTCCTCTGCGTCCGGGAGGGAGTATCATCCAAATGCATGCATCTGACATGCACACACAGAACGTACACGGCGAACCAGCCGCCAACGAGCAGATGCGCGGATAAACACGCCGGTCACGCGCGCACACTCGGGCAGGCCGACAGGGAGCCTGGCAGGGTTTTTAGTGTCTATCCCGGCGGATGAACTCATTGGTAAATACAGCTGCTGGAGTCTGCCACCAAGATTCCAGGGCAACGGCCACCTATCTGTGCCCTCATCACCATGGTGACAGGAATAGAAACACAGACACAGCTCGGCGGGTTCGGCGCGAGGTGCATATCAAAAGCCGGGGAAGTTTTGCCAAGCTGTCAAAAGATTTTACAAGTGTCAGGAGTAGCGCGTTGCTTTTGGTATTACACTAAGCCGTGGCCTTTTCGGGGAGGCATTTAACCTTTTTATGACCGGCGGAACCACACACGGGGATGTCACGCTATTATTTTTATGCAAGCGATAGGAGGGGGGATGATGAGAGAGAAAGCGAGGAAGAAGGAAGGAGCGGTATCGGGCTACAAGTGTTTACAGTCGTCTGATTAATGCCGAGCTTCTGGGTCGTGCCGCCGTCTGCACGGTACACAAGCGCATGCACATCAATATGCAAACGGCATCGCTTTATTGCACACTTCTTGCAGAGTACATTTCGCTCTGAGTTATGATCATCGTCTCTGAATAGATTGCTGGCTCGCACTCAGAGACGAGTGTGTGTGTGTGTGTGTGTTTTGGCGTGTGTGGGTGTGTTTGTTTCACGGGGAGGGTTACGCCGGTTCAAAACTCAAGCTACTCGCGAGAGAGAAAAAAAACAGGCCTCGCGCCTTTTTGAAGCTGCAAAGTGTTTTTAATCTTTCCCACTCGATGTCAGATCCTCCCGTATGGTCGTTAAAACGCCGGCAGTGTTTCTCTCTCGGCTGAATATTCCACCGTGACCTGATGGAGGCTAAACTTAGCTACAGCTGCCGTGTGTGTGTGTGTGTTTTTATCTGTGTGTAAGAGGACATGTGATGTGATGATAGATCCGAGCTGTAATGGGAGGTATGTGGGTCTCTTAACGCAGCATTCCTCTCTGAAACAGATGCATTTGGCGGTTCGGGTCACGATCAAAGTGACTCAACGCGCGGAGATCCCACTTACTTCTACCTAAAAAACCACAAAATACCCATTTAAATATGCACACAGTACAGGAGTAATTACAGCTGGAGATATCAGGTTTTCCTCTTCAGGCGCTCTGGGTAATGTGAAAAGAACCCTCCGAGCTACATTTTCCATCACAGTAAACAAGAATTTTTAATTTGGTTTTGTCAGAGTTTCAGGTTATTTAATTTTGCCTGAATGTAGTACTTTTTTTTTCTTTTAAATCAATGTCACGCTCTGTTTACTGTCAGTCTCCTGACACCCACATGAAAAGACTGGGAGTCTCAGCCAGGAAATAATCCATTTTAAACATGTCCTCTTAAAAAAAACGTTACTGTCACATCATGTCGTCTTATTCGGGGCGTCTTTGTCGGCGGATACAGCTGTCAGCTGCACCGGCACGATGATATTCCCTTTCAGAAGGACAAGAAAACAAGATTAACCCTAAATGCTAACGTCAGCATGCGGTGCTAATGTGCTCACAGCGACACGGCCAACATGCTGATTTCTTACCGTGTTTGCGATCTTAATTTAGTTACTCACCATAATGACATTTGCTAATTAGCACCAAAGTACAGCAGCAGCAGCAGTTTTGTGATTATATAATTGTCTGTGAAGATTATCAGACTTTTACATCATTTTAATCCTATTTAAGGTTTTGTTGGGTTCTGCATCCAAGAGGCTTCTCCAGTTCTGATAAAAGGTCTTCAAGAACCTAAAAGAGAAGTCCAGTTGCTTTTTAGGTCAAGTATGTAATTATAGGCCAAAAGGCAGACCTGTTAGAGTTCATCGTAAATGTCTGAACCAAACCTCATAGAAATCGATTCAAAAAATGTGTTCAATATTTCACCCAAAACAAAAAAAAAATCGAACTCATCTGAAGCTAGAAGAAAAGTCA